TATCAAATGCCCCGGCTACATTCAATCGTCTTGTGACACAACTGTTCCCATACCTGAACGAGTTTATGCACAGACGTACTTTGATGACATCTTTGTCCATAATCGTGCTACGAACGGTTGGTCAGATGTGAACAATCACATTGAAAAATTTACGAGCGGTGCTCGAGCGCATGCGCCCGAATGAGTTGTACGCCAACACGTTTAAGATAATCTTTGGTGCAATGTGAATTTTATATTTATATGGCTTTATTGGTAAGCGAGGCCTTTGAGCGGATCCCGCTAAGGTAAAAGCCATAGTTGATTGGCCGGTTCGTTAGATAAAAAAAATTTCATAAGTGGCTTGGTCTTTCCAATTACACAAGTATTGTGCGAATAACGCAGAAATGGCTCGGCATTAGCCAATCTTTTTAAATGGATGTAGAATGGTGCTGTTCTAGCACCGAGCATGATGCTTTTCAAGCAGTACAGGAAAGTCTCCTTAATGCGCCAATCTTGGCTTTGCCTGATTCTTAATCATCTTTCAGTGTCGTCTGTGACGCATCTGACTCTGCCAAATGCAGTGCTCTGCATATGGCAAAGTCAGATACGCTCTGTTCCAGACAGATTATAATGGACGGTAAGCGTCATTGCGGTTTAACCCCGGCAGCTGAAGGCTACAGAAGAGAACTATCCTGTTCATGACATAGAGCTACTTTCAATTAAGTATGCTCTCGTCAAATAATATTCATCTTATTGGCTCGAAGCCGTTTGTGATCTATACAGAATATGCGTCAATAGGCACTGCGACCCAGTCGCCTCACCTCTCGTAGAGAATCGCTCGTTGCCTTTCCTTCTTTGTCGAGTACATAATCGAGGTGAAATATAAGCCGGGAAAGCAGAATGCTTTGGCTGATGCGTTGTCACGCAGGCTTGACTATGAGATTGCTCATGTTACGACTCTGTCGTCGTCGGTCACTGACCTAATCCGTATGGCATATGCCAAGGATGAACATTGTGTAGCTCGACTGCGTGATCTAGGGAGCGAGGAGTTTAAGGACTCAGACATTTAAATGTGGCATTATTACGTTCGAGGCTACATTGATATTTCATCGATCAAGGCCTGTTGTGCCGTAGCACGGATGTGGAGGATACCCCTCGCATTTTTGTCCCTCATAATAAGGAGTTGAGTATCATATCCTCTGTGAGGCACATGATACTGCGTTAGGTGGTCACCTCGGTCGTGAGAAGACTTACGGCTCGGTAAGCCAATGCTATTGGTGGCCCCGACTATACAAATGGGTGAGCACATATGTGCGTACATGTGAAACGTTGCAACGTGTGATACCATCACCTCACGCGGCCGCACCGCTGGCTAGTTTGCTTGTACCCAAGGGATATTGGGAGTCCATCAGCATGAATCTCCTGTGCGGTTTACCGAAAGATTCGTATGGCAATACAGGTATTGTGATCTTTGCTGACCGGTTAAGCAAGACGGCTCATTTAGCGGCGGTGCCGTATACCATGATGGTGAGGGTATATCTACGCTATTTATCGATCGGGTGTTTCGACAACACGGTTTGCTGTTGGAAATTGTCTCTGATAGACATCCTTGCTTCACTGGGATGTTTTGGATATTCATTTTTAAGGTGCTTGGCACACGTTTGGACATGTCCACAGCGTATCATCCGCAGACAGATGGTCAAAATGAGAGAGTGAATCGCATCATCGGTGACATCTTGCGCAGTGTTTGCGCAAAAAATCCTAAGCGTTGAAGTTAGATTCTCCCTGTCGTTGAGTTTGCGTTGACTAATGCCGTGCATGCCGTCATTGGCTACCCACCATTTTTTGTGAATGGTCTCACACACCCTCGCGTTCCGTAAACGCTACCACTGCGTTTTTCAGGGCTTGGTGGGGTAGGAGTTGCCGATCGGCTTGCTGATATCAGACCCTCTACTGTAAAAAACAGGTAAGCGAGTTTCTCGCAACGCGATTAAATGTCTTACGACATGTGCGTGACGCACTGGCTAATATCCAAGAAAATCAGAAGAAACGAGCTGATGCTAAAGGCAGAGGTTGTATTGAGCGTTTATGAGGTCGTGGACCAAGTTCTACTCAATGCCAAATTCGTACTTACAAATGTAATGTTCGCCGTCTTCGAGACAAAGATTCGTCCGCGCTTCATTGGACCATTTATGGTCGTCCACAAGAAGGTACTTACGTTCACGCTCAACCTTCCGTGCAAACTGCGAACACACCCTAAGTTCTACGTGTGCTTGCTTAAGCCCAATCTGGATCCGTGTCACGTGAAGTTTGAGGAGCTTACGCCGCATAGAAAGGCCTTGCCATCAGTTGCCGAATCCGTATCAAAAGGTCAAGCTGAGCCTCCATCCGGGCTTGGCCCAGCTCCAACACCTTTTTAACGGGATCGCATCGCGTCAAACGCACTCTGGTTCTGACCCAATGTCTCACGGGGACTACTTAACTCGAGAAGCATCTTCTCATGCTCCATTTCGGTATATTGACCACCATTCGACGCTGCTCGATGAGCAAGGAGACCGCCAAATCTATGTGGAGCGACTCCTGAAACGACGTCGTCGTCAAGGTCAATATAAGTATCTGGTGAAGTGGCGAGGGTACCCGGAGTCAGAGCCCTCGTGGGAGTTTGAGATACCCCTTCGGTAAGATTTCCCATACGCCGTTAATGTTTTTGAACATCGAGCAAAGAATCATCCCTCGACCGAGAGCGCTTCTAACCAATAGTGGTGGATGCAGGTGGGTCGTTTGGCACCGCTTAACCAACACCCCCATCAACCGGCACAGTCGGAGTATAGCTTGTACGAGTTCGCAACTGGCCTCTGGCGCTAAGCATGGCGTAATCATACCGAAGCTTTCGTTCTAGACAAAAATCTACCACGTCAGCACTTGCACTGAGAGCTAACACGCTGCTGAGGTGTCGTTTCCGATGCAATTAGCAAACAAAAGCGTCGTCTTTTTCTTTCTGCAATTCGGGTGCGAACAAGAGAATGAGTATACCCTTCATTGGTGTATTCGTTGCACTTCGTTCTTGCGTATCAAGTCGCAACTTGTATTGACTCTGAGTCGTCAAGTGAGATTGCATGTACCTCGCACGAAGTACTTGTCGAATCTTCACCTCATCAGAAGACGTTGACTCAGCGCCAATGGCCCAAGTTGCCAAAGAAGGACCTTTCATTTGTCGTATACGCTCTTCCACATTGAGTGTTGTGAACAGATAGCCACAACGACCCTCAAGGGTTGCAGCAAGATGCATACGGCGCTGAGCGCTCTCCTCTCGTTGGATTGCCAACTCTTGTTGCTCGTCGAGCGAATTAGTGATGATTGCATCGCCCACAGGAAGTGTTTGATGCGGCGCCGATGGCGCGTTGGCTTCGCCATGCTCGGCAAATGGGTTTGGTGCAGTATGAGGCGGTGCCTCTTGCACTTGTGAGTTGGAAATTCTCCTCTCATCACCATGGATATCGGTATCGCTACCGTAATCCACATCTACATCGATGATAAGAAAAGACGGGAGAGTCGAGGACTCATGGGGTGGCGATGCCATTTTGTTTTGTGTTTTGCTAACCGTGAGGTTGAAGCGCACACACATCGTCCTCTTCGAGAAAAGAATTCGATTGATATTTTGTGGAAACGTCAGTCTGGTGGGGGAGGGTGTAACGGGGTTACACGTCGACTGGTAGTCGACAATAGGTGTGGTATACACAAGAGACGGGATCCCCTTTAAAGCAATATTAGAACACAGTATCAATTGATGAAGACTGATGTCTGTCAACCATAAATTACGGGATCTTTTGAGAGGTTTATTTAGGACATTAGTGAGTAGGTTAATTACTTTGTTCTAAGGTGTTCTTTTAGGTTAAAAAAAGAAACAAAATTCAGTATCTATTTTGAACCGATAGGCACGTGCCTCTCTGAGGCGTCTTAACGTCGTTAAGGAGGTAGCAAGGCCTTGTTAAGGCATATACTCCTAGTGCACTCTCTGCTGTGATTTTCTGAATCGTTTGGTCCCCTGGAACAGGGACCGTAAAATCTCTGAGCATGTTGACTCTTGAAGTCGGGTTCTTCGAACCAAACCTTATCTCTCTGAGATGCTGACTCTTTGAGTCGGGTTCGTAGAACCTTAAGTAGCTCATTGAGCGTTAAGTCTTACTCTGACTTCAGGAGCTGTGTAGCTCCGCTAAACTTAGCGCAAGGACTACTTCGCGAAGGCCAATTTGTATTATTTATGGCCTTCACTTCATACTTTGAAATGATTTTGGCATCGATGTTTCGGGCAACTTACTTGTAATGCAACAGTGTTAGGTTACGGATACTGACAGCAGTAAGCAGTTGTCTTAAAATCTTCCTACACGATCATTTAACTTTTTTTGAGATATCGGTATAGATAGGATTATGTTTTTATAATGGTATATGCCTTTATAGTATGTGTAATCAATTTTAAGGCTTACATCTCAATACAAATACAATCTGTGAATTGTGCTCGCCACACATTGCGCGCGTCCATTATTGAATAATCCTTTTGCTGATTAACGTAATGACCTACATAAAAAAATCAGCAATATTACTCAAAATCACCTAATGTAGTTTTGATAAAAATTGTCCAGAAAGATAATATCATCAGTGACATTTGCATGTCGAAATTATATAACGTATTCGCACTATTGCATTCAATAAATAAAGAATTAGGTCATCGCTATTACAAGTAATTATTAGCATGGACTGTCAAAAGAAGCTCAAATGTGACATTGAAGGCTATATGGACTGATGCTGTGTGAACGTTGCTCGAAGGACACACGGATATAATTACGCACAGTGTAGAAAAGATCCTTAGTTCGCCATCACTTATGCTACCTCTAAGTCTTCCGCACTCATTGCGTCATCTCAATCTAACATAAAATTCGCAACGAACGCACGCTTGGCTTGATACGCTCTTCGTCTCCGCAATCCTCCTCAACAGATCTGATGCTGCTCTTCTAGACTTGTCGTTATTTGTAATGCAACACAAACCCATTAGCATCACGTGTGCTGTATGCGTATGGATGCACAACTTCAAACAGCTCAGAGTACTCGCGTAATTCAGTTTCAAGTGCATAATTGAAGAAGTCGTACGGCACATACCTTCCACCGATGCAACTCTCCTGAATGATCCCAGGGTGCAGTCCCGCCTCCATCCACACAAAGCGCATTCGCCCTGGCAGGTACTGGCTTGCAAGTATTCTGTGCATCTCAGTAGCTATAAATTCATTGCCCGGGATCATGTGAAGGGATGCCAGTACTTGCACCACTTCCGCTGGGGGTCTTAAGATCCACAACGTCTTGACAATATCCATGAGTCTAGCGTACAAATCTTCTGGCCCCAATGGACGAAGTTTTTCAAGCAAATGCGCAAAAGCTGGAGCGTTCATAGGCCCTGAAGGTACAGCCAGCTCCGCGAAAGCACGAACATGGGGTGGAGTCTTTTCGAGTTGCACCTCTCGAAACAAAAGCCTTTGAATCTTCGACTGGTTCTCCGGCGAAGCAAAATTTCTGACCTCGCGATAAAGATCCAACAAGGTTTTCGCGAGCACTTCTTGAGCAGGTTTTTTCGTCAGTCGATGGAGATAAGCATACACTTGTCCCGGGTTCATGTTTGGGAACAATAAGCTGAATGCTTCATCGATGCCGAGTGCTGCCGAGTGCGCTTTTCGATACCGTATCATGTACAGTACCCATTCGTGCATAAACGCCAGTCTTTCATCGTCAGTTCGTGTGAAGAGCCGGCCAAGGACTTCAAACAATTTTCTGGGGTCCAGTCCCAACCCCATCCATGCGTCAGACATGACGTTAGGGATATTCTTGTGGATCGCAACTAGCTGTCTGTGTAGCATGTCGGAAACAGCTGTCATTTCTGGAATCGAACGAAGCGACACAATCAGACGCGTCACTTCTAGTGGGTTCCTCTTCGACAATAAGGCGCGAACTATCTTCAAATATCGAACGTGCCAACGGGACGATATTCGAGCCTCATTGCGAAGTAGTAACGTTGCAAATTTCGTTGCGTCCATGGGTTGTTCGCCTCTCGCAAAGTTCTCAAATGCCCTGGTGTTTTTGGCTTTGAGAGCGTAGTGGAAAGATGGCCAATCGGGTTGTGCCATGGTCTGCGGAAGCTTCTCCTCGCGGCCGAAAGGTTTGACTTTGCTCGCCACGTCAGTCAATGCAAGAGCAGACGATTCTAGCACCTCTGCAAGCTTGTTCTCCATCCGGTCCTCGCTTCTGGTGTCTTTGCGCACTGTCTTGTCCATTTCTGAGGCATGCGACTCCGGAATGGACGCGGTCGGGCCTGAAGCGGCTGGGCTGGCATGATGCATTCGTCTGGGGTCGGGCGTGGATTCGTTGAAGCTTGATTGTTCAGAACTAATAGCATTAGCACATGCTAGTTCGCCGTCTCTCAGCAAGAGCAAGAGAGGTGCGACAAATGCCGATAGCACCAAGCTATTGACACGCATAGTTTGGTGCGCGTGGCTGCCAGCAGATTGCGAAGTAAGAGGTCCATCGAATCGCACCCTTCCATCCGCAGAGCGTGACCAATCGTTTTTAAGTCACAAAACGAGCTTTTGGTCATTCTTAATTCTGTCTTACAGACCTGGTTGCTCATTTTAAATCAGATATTTTGATTTTAGTTCACCTATTTACACACTCTGTGCGTTGCATATGCCAGACGATTTGGAATCGGACCAATGACAACCCAACTGAACCATCTTGATCAAAAAGATGGTCTCGTAATTAGAAGAACCATAACTCAGCTACCTTTAAACATCCAAGTGTCAGGAAGCGCTTGATTCCCACGACGAATGCAATGGTACTCACGACTGTCAGGCTGTACGTAAGTGAGACGACTGCGTATATATAGCGATGGAGGTCAGATTACACGCTAATAATCAGTACATCTCGGTAGAGTATTATGCGGGCGAGTTGTGATGCGACGTAATACATTATGTGCAATTTATACCACTTCCACCAAAGCGACTTGACTGTGGCTCATCGATGTAGCGTATAGGTAAATGATGGCAAACAGTTTCCTGTTAAACTTCATAAGCGTATATGATACATCAATGCTGTGGGGTTGCTCCAAGGCAAGATGCCATAACTGCAACAACTTTAACTCTGATACTGTTTATCGTCGAGCCATAGTTAACGAGTTTCCAATGATATGTGAAGGGCCACTGCTTACTTCGTACTGGAACACCAGTACGGAGTTAACTTCCACTGACAACAGTGAAGGTCAGTGCCTTGCTTGGTGTAAGCTCTACACAGAGGAAGAGTAAACAACTAAGGCAAGACTTGAGTTATATGATATGTAACACTGTTATTTAAAACAATTAAGTCTTGTGATTCTTGTTTTCTGTTTTAACTTGACTTTATCATATTAATATAGCTAAATGTATATTGACATCTACCCACCATCCATTGCACGCGTCTAGCATCGATTGGTGGATTAATATATTTACAATATTAACCAACAAGCAGACCTTTGCGTCATCTTGACGATATATCAAGAATTAGTAATATTGTAAAAGAACGTTTGAGGTAACATTCTGTATCACCATTTCACGCACTTACATTTTCATGTAACGGGATACCTCGTTACATCTAAGGTCTCGAGGCAACCTTATTTACGACAATACGCTAGATAAATTGTTCGTATCGTATAGCGCTACGTTTGACAGGGACAATAGAGTCGTATACTCATCGTCAAGTACCATCATTATCAGGATCTATGCTCTACTGTGTAGCACGCGCAGGGCAACAATCTTCTTACGATAACTGCTTTTCTTATTTGCACATAACCGATTTTATTCCTTTGAGGTGACCGACGAGATATGGTCACGTTGATGAGGCATGCCTATAACTTAAGTGATGAACGTGAACTTCTCCATTAATTTCTAACTTTACTGTGGTGATGTGGTGATCACAATTTCCTTGTGTTCCCGACTCTCCAGTAGCACCCGAAAAACCGACTAACCGAGAGGGTACCCCGATCCGTGCTCTGTATCTTCTTGCTTATTTTGTTAACCCGTGGGTAGGGAGGGTTGTGCTCTTATTGGTAGCTTAAGCTAAAGCTGAACTTGATCGTATTAAAGATAAATGATAATGTGGTGGAAACTCTTCACTCGATCGAACTTAGGTGCAGATCTCGTGGAAGTTCTTCACTCTATCGCTTGTAACTTGGGCGCTCTACCAGAGTCGTCTGTATCCAACGGTGATGCTTAATTTGTGAGTTTTCGGACTACTTGAGCCGCCTCGCGGTCTTAAATCTGAAGCGTTATGTTTCCTGCGGCAGATCGCAGTAAGGGAGGTAATTTTTGATGTTTCTCCTGGACAAACAATCCGAGGGAGAACTTCGAAGAGACGTGGGTAACTCTTGATTCAATGGGAGGCCAAGATCCTGCTCAAAAAAGTCGACGCGTGTCTTTCGTTGCAAATTTTAATTCTGATTAAATTAAACCAACCAAATCCATACCTATGACTATCTATATGCTATCTGTTCGTTTAATTACTGTTGCGTATCACCTGTCTATGTATCAACCTCGTTCATCATGTGATTTACAGCAGATACTCCGTAGCGGATCGCTAGATGTGGATCGCTAGGTGGTAGATCCCTCCATAGTGGATCGCTCCACAGTGGATTGCTAGGTGATCCATAATGGATCGCATTATAGTAGATCGTTTGGGTAGTAGGTCACGTTATATGATCTTCACCGATTTAATGTCCTTACGATCAATCATCACACACCCAGGGTGGATCGTGATCAATTTTTCGAGTCTCAGATCGGAGATCCACCTTCGGGTCGCCGTAACTTTTGAAATCTCGCATGTCTGATGATCTTAGCGATCCACTCCTCCAGCTTGCTTCCATATTTATCTTTTTTATATTGTCGTTAGCGATCCAGTATTACGGCTGATGTCGACCCCTTGAGTGAGATGGTCCTTGTAATTCGGTGATACAAGCTCTTTATCACGGATCGTGATCGGTCAATCGTCAATACTTGACTATACTCCTTCTTGAACTTTGGGTGTATCAATCCGAATGACCTTAACATTTGCTATCTTTCATTCAGACGTGTGATCCCATCATTCGTATCAACGGGCCTATCTTCAAACTCACTCCTCCAATCAAATCGATCTCGCACTTAGTGCGGTAGGCGAGATCAACACGTTCCATCATTCTTTTTCTGCGCTTCTCCACAATACGACCCAGGAACTTATAGGCACGAAATTTTTTGACATCATTAAGGCTTACTTTAACAAGAACAACGACATCGGGTTGCATTGCTCATCCCTACTTGAGTTTAAGCCGTGATTTGTATCTTTATCAAAGTGAGCTTTTTGATACCGGTTACGTGGTAATGCGGCATTTCTGCTTCATTATCCTTTCGCGTTTGTACGCGCTGATGGTCAACTAATTTCTTTGCAATTTGATATATCTCAACAATAAGCTATTACCCGCGCATGGCATGAATGAATTCTTTGTAAAATTGAATGCTTCATCTTAGCTCGATCGTTGGTAGGATGGACAATTCAGCCATATCGTGCCCGCGCGCAAACGCACGCTACCTTCGCAATAGTAAATTTATCTAGTCGTTGAACTTATACGCTCTAAGCCACTGATGATCGGAGGAAACTAGGTTGAGAAACATCATTACAATTTAATTTTAGTTTAGGCTAGCTGAGGCTAAGCAAGACTGGAATATATATGTTCGGTGACAAGACCAATTTAGCACTACTTCAAATTTAATTTATCGTATCACAAACTATTCACACCATGGCGCAATCTTGATGATTATATGAAATCGACGTTTGGGAGAAGTATAAGTGGTAAGAAGTCAATTTGTCGAAGCCTATGTATCGCGTTTAAAAATTATTGTATGATGTATAAAGTTGTTTCGGCAATACGAGAACGATTTATGCTTCGCGCAACATATATTAACTATACAATATCGGCAATCGGTTGAAACCCTTACATTAAAAAGCATATGCAAAATGTCAAGTAGGGAACTGAGGTATGTCCGCTGTTAAGTAAATACGTGTAGAATGGTGCTTTTTCGAAAGCGTCAATTAGGTACTTATACAAATGTTATTCTCGGTAAATAGATCATAATATTCCAAAATAGCGAAAATAGTAAGATCCATATTCAAACAATTGAGGTTACAGCAAAGTGATCAATTTTATTTGTTATAACATTGCATACCAGTAAATAGGTTGGATTGTGATGTAATGATCCAATTTTTTAAACAACCAAAGTTTTCTAAATTCGCTGTTATACTTCTGGTGACCTAAGGGGCTCTTTGTGCCATAATTCTTTGTTCATTTTTAAACAGTAAAATGCCCGCTGCAATAAGTAGTACGGTGAGTCGACATAAAACAATCTTTATAGCAGTCAACTTGCAGATCAATATATTGATCATGTGTCGTGTTGAAAATTTAGCTGTCGTCTCTTACCAAACTCATAGATCCACATAGACCTTCATGCTTATCTCCTTCCATCGCAAGTTTTCGACGTTGTCAACGCAACTATTTACTTCTATCTAAGTTGTACGGCCTCGTCATTCGTATATGTAGCAAGCATAATGGCATTATTTTTGCTAAATAATTAAATAGAATTGTGGTGTAGCGACAAATAAAATCCGCGATACATGAACAGATCGCGCTCCAGTTATATCCGAATTAGCAAACGGGTGGCAGCGCCGGTCCCACACCTGGTCGGATCTCAAATATATATACATGTTAGACAGTACCCGATGTCATATCAGAAAGGGTCAGCCTGCTACATCAGATTAAATTATCACGGACGAATATTACAAGTCATAGATCTTTAATTAATGTCCAGGAAAGATTACGATCGCGATCAGGAGCGAAATCGCGACTAATGAGACGATCAATATCGTTATCGGCGATCAGAAATTTGATTGCGATCAGGTTGATGTGGACCATACGCGATCGCGATCAGATGAGTAGGTGCCACACCATGTGATCCGTGATCAGCGAGGCGATCTCGATCAGGGAGGAGATCGAGATCGGGAGCGGTGATCAGGTGTTTGAACGCGATCAAGCTAGTGTGGGTTACGATACACGATCTGCGACCAAGAAAGCGACTGCGACCGGACCATTATAATAGGTGTGCACCACGCAATTATAAGGGTGCGGCCTTCTGGAGAGAGCTACACATGGTATGCGAGGTCTGGGATATGATGATAGGGACAGAGTTGCTGAGTTTGATTGATTAACATTAGACAGAGTACGATATGTTTCTAAGGACAAGCGTCGTATTTTCTCGGGCTGGAGAGTTTGGACACCCGAAGTCACAGA